TACCTTGCAAACCGAAAGCTTTCTAGAATTGCTAGGTGAAGTTCTAAATATCGCTAATTTTGAGTTAGGCTGATTAACATTTATTATTGGGTCTGGTCATGATGAAGGATAGTGTAATTCTCAGCATTGATGAGTGAGTTACCATTGGTCTAAAATTTTGCAATCTCTGGTTTTCTCCTGATTTTTAGTTCCACATTTGGTGGCTTTAAACACAGTACTGTTCTTTTCATACCCTGTATATTTTTATTATGTCAGAAATCTAAGGAACTTATGATCTAATTTAGATGTCTCTGGAAATGTGAATTTCATAACTGAAGAGAACAGATCTGAAATTAAAATATTGTAATAAGGAGCTGACAGTTGGGTTAAGTGGATTGTTACACATTATCATCTTAAAATTACATTTTGTGTCGTCTTAACTTTCCTCCAAAGTACACATCCTAGGATTATAACACTATTTTCAATTCCCCTTTCATCTTTCAGCCTTTAGAACTAAATCCTAAGCCAGTAGCTCACTTTTGGACTCCTAAATTTGATTTTCTGAAGGCCTTAGGGTAAATGTCATTTCCACTGGAATACTTTTCTTAATCTTTCAGGATAGATGAAAGCCCCACTGATTTTCTTCTTTCTACCTGTCCATTCATCTGTGCTTCCTTTTCTCATACCTGTCCTTACTTCCATCACAGTTCTAATCACATCATATCATCATTGACTGTTTAATTATCTGATTCCTAAAACTAGAAGTTCCTAGAGGCCAGGCCTATGCCCATCTGCTATTGAGTCTCAGCCCTTAGCACTTGAGTGTAGGGGTGTAGTAAGCACATACTCATTCTTTTTTTTTTAACTGAATGAAGAAGCCTGGGAAGTAGGTCATCATTTGAAAAAGCATCTGGAAATGATAAGAATAGTTAATAAAGCAATACAGATTGTTTAGGAGAAAGGTCTATACTACTTCTTTTAACAGTAAAGGCAATTTCTTTGGAAGATTCCAGTTTCTTTTTTTACTATATATACAGTTACTTGTTTATTTTTCATTTTCCATCAGCTTTACAACTTTTTCTCATGCTCCTCATCACCTACTATCATTTGTAGTTAAGCCTTCCTTTCTATAAAACAATATTTTTGGCTTATTTGGATGATTAATGAAAATCAGTCTTAGCAGTTAGATTTCTGACTGAGACGGATCAGGCAAAGTGAAATGTGTTGCATGATGCCATTGTTTAAGTTGTTGTTTTGCTGGCTGTGACCCATTAAGCGTCCCTTCTTTTTGTTTAAAAATCATTTTTCAAATTGTTTTAGAGTTGGGGGTACGTGTGCAGATTTGTTACATTGGTATATTGTGTGATGCTGAGGTTTCGGATATGAATGATCTCATTACTCAAGTACTGAGCATAGTATACAGTAGTTAGGGTTATTCAACTCTGTCCCCTTCCCCTACCTCTACAGTCCCCATTGTCTGTTGTTGCCCTCTCTGTGTCCATTGGTACTTAAGGTGTGGCTCCCACTTATAAGTGAGAACATGAGGTATCTGGTTTTCTGTTCCTGTGTTAATTTGCTATAATGGCCTTCAGCTTCTTCCATGTCACTGCAAAGTACATGATTTTGTTCTTTTTTTAATAGCTCTGTAGTATTCCATGGTGTATATATACCACATTTTCTTTGTTCAGTCCACTGTTAATGGGCACCAAGATTGATTCCAGACTGCTTTCCACAGTGGCTGAACTAACTTACATTCCTGCCTTCCGTGTGTGTATAAGCATTCCCTTTCCTCTGCAGCCTCGCCAGCATCTGTTGTTTTTTGACTTTTCAGTAATAGGCATTCTGACTGGTGTGAGATGCTATCTCATAGTGGTTTTGATTTGCATTTATCTGATGATTAGTGATGCTGAGCATTTTTTAGTATGTTTGTGGGCCACTTGTATGTCTTGTTTTGGAAAGTGTCTATTCATGTCTTTTGCCCATTTTTAACGGGATTATTTGTTTTTTGCTTATTCAGTTAAGTTCCTTATAGGTTCTGGATATTAGACTTTTGTTGGATGTATAGTTTGTGAATAAAATATTATTTTTAAAATGCATCTGTTTCCATTTTACACATTTTTACAGTCACCAAGGTGACTGTAACACTTACCATCACTTTTGAAGAAGTGACTTAACAAAAGAACCCAAACAATATTTCTTTACCTCTGCAGACTCTTCCTCTCACAATGAAGTGGCTTCTGAAACCCTATCCTATCCACAAAGCTTTACTGGAGTAGTGTCAGGGAAGATAATAGCTTCCTCTAAATTCACGCTATTCAAATGTGTAATTCACACTTGTTCACAGACTAGAATAATGTACCTACAAAATGTTTATTGACTGTTATATAGCTCCTAGAGGAAGAAAATAAAAATGAAATGGTTTGTACATTATGGTTTGTCAGAAGTATGCTTGCCAGTTATAATGGTAAAATACTAGCTCACATTGCTAATATTTATTGAACACTTAACTATGTGCCAAGCACTGTGCAAAGTCTGACAACAAGCCTTTTGGCTAAATAGCATTATTGTCCTTAGGAAACTAAGGTCTAGACAGCTAAAGCAAGTTGCGGAGAGGTAGGCAGTTAGCGAGTGGTAGACTCAGAATTTAATCCTGAATGTTTAACTCCAAAACTCAAGCTCCTAACTGCTGTGTATTAAAAAGCCTAGCACCTAAAGGATTATATATTCCATATCTCCTGCTACATTTTAAGAGGGATTTTAGAAAGTAACAATACTAGCAACCAATTACTGAATGCCAGGTAATAAATACACTGGGTACTTAATGTATGCTCTTTCAATCCCTCTGACAGTACTAAGGAGGAACAATTTTTATCCCTATTTTTCTGATGACACCAAGGTTCATGGAAATTAAGAAATAGATTTAAGGTCACAAAGCTATTTAAGGTCACAATAGCTAACTAAGCCATTGAGCCAATTAATACCTAGCTCTCTGCGCTTACTGCTGGATATACTAGAGTGTGTCTGGAGTGTGAATAGTAAGAGGCCTGGCAACAAGGTCATATGACTGAGGAAACTGGGTTTATGCTGACAGTGATTGAAGGGAGGAAAAAAATCTTCAAATGTCTTGTGTCACACAGAGGAAGGATCAGACATACTTTGTTTTGCTCCAGAAGGCGAAAGTGTCTCTTGTAAATGTAGGCAGTCTAGATTCTGAAACTGCAAATTGCAGTTGCTCGCTTCTAGGAATTTTATTTAATTAAAAATAGAAATTGAATCTGTAACTCAAAAATTCAAGAAAAGCCTAATTTGAACTCAGTTACAGTCCCCAGGTGACATCTAAGACATGCACCTTCTGAAGACGCTGTTGCATTTTTATTGTTTTAGAAGGAACAGCATTTCCAGAATATCAGAGGTGAAGCCTCAAGTCAGTTCTGTGTCTGCCAGAATGAAAACAAAAATAATCTTATCTTTCTTCTTGTTGTCCTTCTAAGAATAAGGTGTCAGTATTTCCAGGGGAAGATAAGGTCAACTGAGAGTGTGGGAAAAGAGAATCACCTTAGTGTTCAAAGCTTCACAGGGCAGAGAACATAGGACAGGTCAGCTGGTAATGCCTACCACATCGTGTGGTGATGAGGTGGGAGAGAATGAACTGCTACACAGGAAGTTCTCAGAGCTCTTTTGAGGAGGATGTGATGTTAAACTAATAAAACCTGGTGAGAAACAACACACACAGGGGCCTGTCGGAGGCTGGAGCGGGGATGAGGGAGAGGACCAGGAAAAATAACTACTGGGTACTGGGCTTAATGCCTGAGTGACGAAATAGTCCATACAACAAACCCCTGTGGCACAAATTAACCTATATGACGAACCTGCACATGTACCCCTGACTGTGGAATGGCTTGGCTATAGAATTGTCAATGTTCTGATGTTTTCCAATTAAAGCTGCTCTTTCTGATATGACCATAAAAGGGAGACTTATTTCTTTTCTGTGTTTGAGATGGAAATATGGGAATTAAAAAAAAAAAAAAAGGAATGTAAAAATACCAAGAAATAAAGTCAGGCGACTGAAGATATGCCTTCTGCCATGGAAGCTCAAAATTTTAGGATTTTTCAAGATCTTTATTTGCACCTGGGAATTCAAATGCTTGGTATTGCTAAAAGATGTGATCATTTCCTATTTCAAATAAATGTGGAGATAATTATTTTAAAAAACAACAAAACAAAAACCTGGTGAGAGAGCCAGGCATGGTGGTGCAAGACTGCAGTCCCAGGTGCTCTCAAAGCTGAGGCAAGAGGATCGCTTGAGCCCAAAGTTCAAGGATGTACTGGACAGTGATTGTGCCTGTGAATAGCCGCTGTGCTGCAGCCTGGGCAACGTAGTGAGATCTCACCGCAAAAAAAAAAAAAGTATGAAAAACCTGTTGAGAGATGGAGCACTCACGAGGAAGGTCAATTCTGTCAGAGTACAGCAGCTGCTGTGAACCGGGCAGAGGGAGGATTCAGAGATAAGCAAGGGAAGGTCTGCAGGTGCCTGGGAAGGTCTGCGGGCGATTTTCTAATATGTGCTTTGGCATGGTCTAATATGGACTTTTTGCAAGGAAAAGGCCAGGTCAATCTTATTGTTCTTTCCTCTCTTTGAATTGTAGAATAATTGTGAGTGCCCTTGAACCTCTGAAGAAAAAGATAGAAAATTTGTTTTTCTTTCACATGAAAGGACATTGGGATATGCCTGTAGTCCCTAGCTGACAGTACTGGTCACTATGCAGGGGAACATGGCTTTCTGGAGCACACTAATTCCACTTCAGAACACATAACAAGGTTAATTATGAGGAACCAATAACTTCTCCCTCCTTCCTTCCATCCCTCCTTCTTTCCCTCCCTCCTCCTTTCCCTCCCTCCTTCCTTCCTTCCCTCCTCCCTCTTTTCCGCCCCGCTTCCTTCCCCTTCCTTCCTCTCTTTCTCCCTTCTTTCCTCCCTCCCTCCCTTGTCTTCCTTCCTCTCTACCTTTTTTTTCTCCCTTCCTCCCTTTTTTTCTTCCTTTCCTGTCTTCTTTCCTCCCTGTCCCTTCCTTCTGCCAACAAATACTTATTGAGCACCTTTTGTATGCTGAGCCCTTGCTGGGTGTTGACCGTCCAGTGCTTTAGAAAACAGATATGATCTCTGCCTTCTTGGAAGTTACAAACTAGTAATAATAAAGAAAAATATTTAATTACAAATTGAGATATGTGTGTAAAGAATGCACCAAGAAATTATAAGAGAGGGACTTTATTTAGGTTGGTTCAAGGAAAGGAAGCTGTGAACATGGCAACTGAGCCCTGAAGAACATATGGCTGGAGCAAGAGCTGGCAAGCCCGGCTGCCACCTCTGCAGTGTGGAACACTGCCATGCTGTTTGCCTGGCATTTCAGGCCGCTTCTGCAACAGAGTGGCGGAGTTGACTGGTGGCAACAGAGGATGAATGGCTCGCAAAGCCTAAAATGTTTGCTATTTTACCTTTTAGAAAAAAAGTTTGGTGACCCCTGGTCTAGAAAATACTTGAAGATAAGGGCTACAATGTTTCATTTGGCCCATGCCTTTTCAGGTAGGGTGGGCCATGGACTTTGTATGACTGAAACGTGTGGACACGAGTTACTTGGATGTGATAATGTATGTCTTGTCATGGGGTAGACTTTAAGCAGGCAAGAAGCTTTCTCCAAAACTTGAGATTACATGTTTCAAATGGATTTTCCGTTTGTGGAGGGAGGTGTTATGGTGTGGTGTTTGCAAGCTTAGCATTTGGAATTTTATTGGGAAAGATTATTTTGGATTCAGATCTTGGCTCTACCACTTATGACTGTGTTACTCCCTCTCATTACTCTTCAGTTTTCTCATCACTAGGACAGAGGTACTGTTAGTGCCCACTCCATACAGGTATTGTGAAAATTACCTGAGATTAATGCAGACAGTACTTAGTACGATGACTGACATACAGTAAATACTATACATACACTGTTAGTATTTTTCAAATACAAAATATTTTCATAAAATAACATCAGTTTTCATGATGCCATGCCATAAACAATATTTAGTTTTTGTTTTTTTATCCCAATAGAATTAATTTTTTCACAGTCTGAGGATAAAAACAATAATTTCTAGGTCACAATTTTACAATATTTTGAAGCTGATTTTATAATATTTGGAAATTATTTGCATATTTACCAAATTAATGTTTGTTTTACTCTGGAAGTTTGTGGCAGATCTGCCCCTCCCCCGCAGTGCTATGTTTAGCATGCTTCCTCCCACCTGCCTGCAGCTTTGCATGCCCTTAAATGTCCATTATCCTTCTCCTCTTCATTCCTTCTGTCTACAGTCTGGGCCTATATTAGTCCTATGGCTTTGATTCCATCCCCATTCACACTGTAGTTCTCTGGTTCATTTTCAGCTAATTCAGGAGAGGGTCTGTTCTTCCAGCCTTTTCTTACTTTCCCTTTCTGGTCTATAGTCCTTGCCTGGACGAGACCACCTCCCCCACTGCCTCCTCACAGTCCTTCTTTCCCTAAAGGTATGGCTTGATTCTACCTTCCCATGGCTCTGACTGGCAGGAGTACTTGGGTGTAAGCTAACTGCCTTGCACACACCCTCATCAGCTGTCCCCTTTCCTGATGTGGACCTCAGTTCCCTCCTGAGCAATGGCATTCTCACCATACTGCCCCATGAAACTGGCACCAAGTCCTTCCCTTAAAATGGCTATCAGGTAGCCACCAGTCACTCACAGTAATCTGGTGAGCATGGCAGAGCGAACTAGCAATGCACAGCAAGTGGGATTGCTTGCATACCATAATGATGACTTTATAGCACCATGAAAATTAGCACTGGCCTAGTTACTTGGTCAAGAAAAAAATTCAGAACTCTTACAACAGAAATCAGGTAGTGGGATACACTCTGCTTCTGCTTTCAGATCCTTTTTGGTTTGTTTCCATTGGCTACATGGTTACAGGGGAAATACAAATCAAACTTCTGTTCTCTGAACCCACTGACACAGAAAGCAGAGGTATCAAATGATGATGCCAGAGCTGCAGTATACCTTAGAGATCCTAAGTCCCACTGCCATCATGTGACAGATAAGAACACAGGCAGGTTGAGCAATTTACCCAGGATCACATGGAAGAAGAGTGGTATTGATAAATGGGGGTAGGCTGAGGATGTATTTGCTGGGCAGTGGAATGATTGCATCCTTGTGATGTATTCCACTGCCCAGCAAATGATTGAGCCAAATAATGAACGAATGAATGAATGGACCAAATAATTCCTTGAGTCAAATGTTCTTCCCTTTGTTTTATTTTATTTTAAAACCTCATACCCACACACACACACACACAGTATTTGTAAGCTTAGCATTTGGAATTTTATTTGGAAAGATTATTTTGGATTCAGATCTTGGCTCTACCACTTATGACTGTGTTACTCGCTCTGATTACGCTTCAGTTTCCTCATCACTAGGACAGAGGTACTGTTAGTGCCCACTCCATATAGGTATTGTGAAAATTACCTGATATAATACAGACAGTACTTAGTACAATGACTTACAGTAAATATATATACATACATATATATATATATATACATACATATATATATATATACGCTTTAGTATTTTTCAGATACCACACACACACACACACACACACACACACACACACACACAGTTTTGTACAAATGCCTAAATTGGATCATATAACAAATGTTAGGGTTTGGTGTTTTTTTTTTTTTGCTTGTTTCTCTTTTCATTCTTTTAATTTTTCCATACTGGAATTCCTCCTATAGGAACTACAACTCCTATATGTATCTTTCCATATTTTTCTCCGTATACCTATATACATTATAGAGTTTTTTTGATCACTTTTTTTTAAAGGGGCCATGTGATACACTCTTCTGTGTTTTTTTTTTGTTTTTTTTTTTCACTCAACAGGGTCTCATGGAAATCCCTCCAAGTCAACTGATATCTTTTTAACTAATTTATTAGCAGCTATGTAATATTCTGTGGTTTGTACCCTGCGTAATTCAACCATTCTCTTCCTGATGGCCTTCACTCTGTTCCCAGGTTTGTCACAATCATCCATGATTAAATAAGTCTCCTGGTACATATATCCTCATGTTCTTATTTCTATGAGGCAGTGTCCATGACGAGAGAGTGCTGGGTAAATGTGTTTTTAACTTAATGGATCTTGCCAGATTAATTTTCTGATGGACTGTAAAGTCTCACATTTCTGCAATATATGAGAGTGCTCTTTTTCCAGCATCCTTGCCAGTAATAGGTATTTTGGCTCTTGCTTTGTTTTGTTTTGACAAGCTGATAGATAAGAAGTGAATTTCCTTTTTATTTTGAGTGGCCTTTCCCTGACTGGCAGTGAGTCTGAACATCTTATTTCATGTTTATTAGCTATTTAGATGCACTTTCATGTGAATTGTCCATCCATGTTCTCCACCATTTTCATTTTAATTCATTTCTTCGTTCTTTTTCTTCTTCTTCCTTTTGTTTTGTAATATTCTTGTAAGAACTCTGAACGTTTATGTATTAACCCTTTTTGTATCTTTTCATCGTCATTCATTCCTTCCTTCTTTTTCTTGTTCTCTTTTGTTTTGTCATTTTCTTGTAAGAACTCTAAACATTTAAATATTAACTCTTATTTATATCTCCATTAAAAATGTTTTTCTCAAATTCATTGCTCATCTGTTATACATTAATTATATTATTATTAACCTTTAATTATGATGTATTTTGCCATGCAAAGGTGTCTATTTTTATATAGTCAAATATATTAATCTTTATTTTTATGGCTTTTGGATTTCTTGCCTGTGTTTAGAAGATTCCCCTTAACCTAAGATTATATATCTAATTTCCTCAATTTTTCTTGAAGTTTTTATATTGCTATATTTTTAACATTTGAGTTTCCAGTCTATGTGAAAGTCATGTTTACATATGATGTATATGAGGGGTCTAATTTTCCCTTTAAATGGAAAACCAGTTGTGCCAGCACCATTTATTAAATAATCTAAACTTCTCACTGAATTAAGCTACAATTTTTGCCGTATATTAAAATTATATATATACACACACACACATATGCGTATGTGTCTTGAGGTTATCTAGGTATTCTTTTCTCTTTTCCATTGATCCATTTGTTTATTCCCATGTTAATGCAATTTTGATTTGATTACAGATTTTTGTTGTGTTTTCTTTAATAAGCAAATTTTCCACTTAAAATTCATTTGTATAGTACTTGATCATTTTTAGGCATATATTCTCATTGTGAATTTACATTCATTGTAGCTAATTATTCCCTAATGTCTGCTGGGTTTCTAATTACAATCAAATTAATTTATAAATATTTTTAGAAAATGTTATCAAAATTTTACATGTCAAATTCAGCAGGGGGTCCTAAACATTCATTTTGAAGGCCACACTCACACTCATGGGGACAGACTAAATGTTGTAGTGTGCTTTTCCCATCTGTGCTAAGCTCAAGGCTGCCATTAGGACACAGCAAAGGAGAGGAAGGAAAGTCACTGGAAGCTAGAGAACTTACCAAGGGTAGGCTCTGTCCTCAGGCCTTTGTTCATGGTGTCCCACCTCACACAGTAGCATCTTGATCACAGTTAGGAAGCCCCTAAGCCTTGCAGACTCCAGAACCCATCACCTTACGCCCTGTCTGTTGGAAGTGTTTGTAGCCACATTGTTTTATGTCTGCACATAATAAAAATTAAGAACTTTTTCTAGGATGGATTTGAAGATTTCATAACTTGGGTGTTTAAAATAGGAAATGCTGTGTGATGAGGACACTGTGCTCTGTGGCTTGCCTCTGTGCTTTGAGTTACGCTCTTCCTTTGCCTTGAGAACCTGCCACCTGCCACAGTTCAGTCCACCCATGTCTACTTAGCTCCCTGTCCCATGAAAACATCCATATCTCAAACCAGACTCCCATGGCCCATAGCTTTCACTAACACAACATCACTGTTGTGTTGTAGATTATTATGCCTTCTTTTACCAAACACTTACTGGGCACCTGCCTTGTGGTTGTTCAGACTGCCAGAGATCCAATGGGGAACAGGTGGTGGATTTATTATTCTCTCCCCCACAAACTTCATGCCCATGAACCAAATATTGTTCCCTTGTATTCAGAGAATCCCTCACAATGACTCATACATATAATATGTTCAACCAGTGTTAGGGGAGTGAGGAATATATAAAATGATTAGGTGGCCGGGCGCGGTGGCTCAAGCCTGTAATCCCAGCACTTTGGGAGGCCGAGGCGGGTGGATCACGAGGTTAAGAGATCGAGACCATCCTGGTCAACATGGTGAAACCCCGTCTCTACTAAAAATACAAAAAATTAGCTGGGCATGGTGGCACATGCCTGTAATCCCAGCTACTCAGGAGGCTGAGGCAGGAGAATTGCCTGAACCCAGGAGGCGGAGGTTGCGGTGAGCCGAGATCGCGCCATTGCACTCCAGCCTGGGTAACAAGAGCGAAACTCCGTCTCAAAAAAAAAAATAAAATAAAATAAAATGATTAGGTGACAGGAGGAATTATTTGGTTGAATTATGATTTTTCTCATTTCTGCATCAATTAGTTATCACCTTTTTTTCAGCTTAAAATTTTTTTCCGTGTTTTGAATGTGCCGTCTTTGTTGCTTTCTTTCTAAATGTCCATGGCCAAATTTTTCAAAGTTTGCCAGAATGAATTTTTCATTAAATAAATAAAGATTTTTTAGAGTCCTTACTATATGTTAGGTACTACAATAAGCATTGGGGAGAAAATGCTGATTAAAAATAGATCCTTATGAATAAGATTGCCATTTTAAAAAATGAAAGCTGGGTCATTTTTCTCCAGATGGCATGTAGGCTCAATATTTTAAAATCTAAGACCACAAAATCTAACATATAAAATAAATGATTATGTCCATCAGGAGCCTAAAGTGGATTTGGTATTTAATACTTACATTTAAATTGAGAAGTGAGTGAACATAACTGAACATTCTAGACTTGTGGCTTCAGCATCTATAACTAGAAAAATATGAGAATAAGTCAGAAGTAATCGGGATCCCCAATCCTTGATACTGAAGAATAACACTTTTGAAAGAGTAGTATTACCACGTAACCCATTTGCTTTCATTTATATTGTAACATAATAAATGTTTATTTTTAATTTAGACATTTAATTTCGTCTTGCCCAATATACTTACCAATCAGCCAGAAACATAGGTCTAGATGAATATTTATACATTAATTTAAGCTTAATTAGAAACTGGTAATCTACACTGATCAGATCTACATTCATTTATTCAACAAATATTTATTGAGTATATAGTGTGTGCCAAGTTCTCATTTAGGCTTTCAGGATACAGTAGTGAGCAAAACAAAGATGCCCATTCTTGTGACACTTATATTCTAGATAGGGGCCAATGGTGGAAACAGAAAATAAACCATAAACACAATAAAGAAATTATGTAGCATGATAGAATATAGCAAATGCTGTGGAAAAAAGCGTAGAGTGGATTAAGGGGGTCCAGGAGTGCTGGGGTTGAAGGGAGAGAGGGCAGGTAACACATAAAATACATTATATTAAAGAAGCACAGAATTAAATAGAGAGACTATGCCCAGCCTAGAACTGAAGAGAAATGTGGAGCTATAGAGTGCTATCAGAGAAGATTTAAACAAAATTAAGTATCACAACTAACTGGCAACTAGTGACTAGTTGTAACTAGTTACAACTTTACTAGTCACTAGCAATAACTAGTCACTAGTAACTAGTTACAACTATTTAATAACTACTAACTGGTTACTAGTTGTAACTAGTCATAACTAACTAGTAACTGGTCACTAGTTTTAACTAGTTACAAGGTTTTTTTTTTTACTAACTAGTAACTAGTCACTAGTTGTCTAATAACTAAATATTGCCCCATTAATAGGGAAATGGATTGGACATTAAAAGTCCATTCTAGTTCTGTGATTCTGTTATGCCTTCCATAAACACAAAATGCAATTAGGAACTGTGAATACGCAAGAGGGATTTACTTCTTATTAACACACCATCACAGGAACTGTGTGCATGCGTGTATGGGCCTCTGTACATGCACACACACACACATGCACACACATTCCTGCAAAAGCTTTGACATTTCTGACACAAGACGTTTTATTTTTATTTCCTCTTTAATTCTATTTTACTGTAAGGGAATTAGATCATCAGACCAATTTTTTCAAATAGTTTCATGGAATGAGTTAATTACAATATGTGATCCAAGTCTGCACCCACTACTGAGATTGTCTACAGTAGAAACAGAGGGCATCCAAATCCATCAAGCATTTTAGCTGTTCTTTTTGGTGGAGAGTAGGAGCAGGGTGAACAATCTTACCTAAATATAGAGGATTGTTGTAAGGCTGTATCCTGTTTGGAAATGATCTCATCTATCTGTTGCTGGTTAGCAGTTTTCTACCAAACTGAGCAGGAATCTTACCATATGGCATTGTTGTTAGAGAACCCTCAAAGTTAAAGCCACCAGGATTCCTCACTGCCCATGAGGTAAGGTCTATGAGTGAGATATCACTGTCGAGGGTCTTGAACTTGAACTAACCTTAATCCACATAGGGACATGTTACAGGTTATTTTATTCCTTAATTTTGTGTATTATTCTGATCCTGGGATTGTTCTATTAGATAAGCTGTGCTATATATGTAATAATGAATTATAGAAAAAATCAAGTTTCTTCCTTCTTTGTTGGTATAAACAGATCCCTTTGTAATGAGGCTGTTTGAACATGATCAGGCGTGCAGTGGCATGCTCTCTGTCATTGCCTCCTCCTCTGTCCCCACTCAAATAAACAACATACTCTTAAACCACAAGCATCTAGGGTGTACTGTCCAATATGGCCGCCGTAGCCCCATGTGGTTAATAATCACTTAAAATGTCCCGAATTTGAACTCAGATGTGCTGAGTTTGAAAAGGCACAGCAGATTTCAAAGACTTAGTACTAAAAAAGGAAGGTAAAAATCTCAATAATTTTTATATTGATTACATATTTCAGATATTTGGAGTTAAATAAAACATTATTATCACTAATCTTTTTTTTTAATGTGGCCACTGTAAAACTTAAAATTGCATACATGGCTTTCATTATATCTCATTCTATGAAATACATTTCATTATATTTCTTTTGGATAGCACCAGTCTAGAGTCTTAATGGGAAGGCAAAGAGACTTCCCATGTCCTCTTCTTTTACCTTGGGAGAGGCCTTTAAGACAAAGTATTGATTACTTTCTGCAACACAGAGAAAGATGTGCGTGTTTATGTGTATGCACATGTGTATGTGTGTGTGTGCACAGGTGTGTATGTTTGTGTTGAGGGTGGGAGAAGATTCAGTGGGAGGAAGCATGGGAAGGGAAGGGAAGAAAGATAAGTGAGCATTTTCAGCCAGTTCTGAGATGCCATCTACTCTCACTGGAAGTAAGGAACAGAGAATAGCTGGGCACAAGTTAGTTCTCAGAAGGCAAATTTGCTTTTTGCTTAAAATAGGATGAATCATTGGAACATCAGACTCATTTGAATTCAAATGTAAATGCAAATTAGGCTTCGTTAACATCAGTACAGAAGCAAATACGAAGTTTTAAGAATGACGGTCATCGCTTTATCAGTAGTTAACAAGGATAGTCAAGAACTGACCTGTATTCCAATGTATAGTCTTGATTTGTACAAAGGGTATAATTTATTTTGTTCTGAAGCATTTTATGAAAGAAAAATTTCTGGTTGAGATAGAATCACTTAATGACCTTACAGTTTATACTCAAATAAACACCCAAACTAATAAGGTAGCTTTTCTGGATAACTGGATGATTTTGTAAAACACAATGCTTTTGTTAAATGGTAAATTAAGGTATTTAGGAAGAAACCTACTTTTTCAAAGAAAAAGAAAGATATTTTAGAGGCCAAGCCCATGTGATTGTCTGAATTCGTGATGTTATATTTCATAGTTTTGCTAATCTTGTCATTGACCATGAAATGGCAAATTTGAATATGTTCACTATTTTAGTAGGTTAATTAATTAGATAGCCCATATGATAAGCCCAATGGAAATAACCACAAAATGAGCTGTTATTCAGGGGAGTAGAAGGGGAAATGAGGAGAGCAAAGAGACCCTAGACAAGTGCTGTCCAATAGAAATATAATGAAAGACACATGCCATTTAATATCTTCCATTAGCTACATTGATGACTTTCTGCAGCCCAGAGAAAGATGAGAGAGAGAGAAAGACACACACACACACACACACACACACACACACACACACACACACAGAGAGAGAGAGAAAGAGAGAGAGAAGGTTTAGTGAGAAGAAAAGGAGAAGGTGGCCTTAAATATGGACCTTTGTGTCCCTAAGTTGAAGTACTGTCTTGGAAAGCACCAACCAAATGTGAATACAACTAACTGTACTTTCAGTTCAGCATGGAATTACATTGTTTCATAGCTGAAAAAGCAGACTTTTTCTTGAAATGAAACAGCCTTTCACTTGAAATGAGAGATTAGGCCCAGAGAAGCAAAGTAACTCACCTTGAGTCACACAGGAGACAAGGCAGAAGTGGAAATAGTGCCCATTTTTGATTCTCACTGGACACTGTGCTGTGGCCTGAGGATACAGTGATGAATATTACAGTCCTTGTCCACAAGGACATTCTAGTGCAGTGGGACACAAGTCCATCAGGGTGTGTCATGGACTACATCACCTATGACACATGCACACTAGTGTCGTCTCCGGATCATGCCCAGTTTTGGTGGCAAGCAGTGGATGGTAATATTTCTTTCAAGGACATTTGTGGCAAGCCTCAAAAGTGTTCCAGGCTGTAAGGATTTTCCCTCCATTCCTGAAAAGCAGAACATTTGAAGGAGGCAGTGGAGACCTCTTCTGAGTAAACCACACCAAACAGTATCTTTCAGGAGAAAAAAGAATGACCTCTTCAGTTGGCATCACACTGGAGACTGCTTGGTGGACTGAGTCAGGAGCTGGGCAGGAGCTCAGCCCATCCTGACAGACAGAAAGGCTCACTTCGGTGTGAGTCTCCGCTCACTAAAGTTCTTTACAAACACCTTGGATTGGACCCCCTGTGTCAATTGGACCCCATGTGTGGGTTGGACCCCCTGTGTGGACTGGACCCTGTGCGGACTGGACCCCCTGTGTGGACTGGACCCTCTGTGCGGATTGGACCCCTTGTGTGGACTGGACCCTCTGTGTGGATTGGACCCCCTGTGCGGACTGGACCCCCTGTGCGGACTGGACCCTCTGTGTGAACTGGACCCCCTTTGTGGACTGGACCCCCTTTGTGGACTGGACCCCCTGTGTGGGTTGGACCCCCTGTGTGGACTGGACCCTCTGTGTGGATTGGACCCTCTGTGTGGATTGGACCCCCTGTGTGGACTGGACCCTCTGTGTGGACTGGACCCTCTGTGTGGACTGGACCCCCTGTGTGGATTGGACCCCCTGTGTGGACTGGACCCTCTGTGTGGACTGGACCCCCTGTGTGGACTGGACCCTCTGTGTGGATTGGACCCCCTGTGTGGATTGGAACCCTTGTGTGGACTGGACCCCCTGTGTGGACTGGACCCTCTGTGTGGACTGGACCCCCTGTGTGGATTGGACCCCCTGTGTGGACTGGACCCTATGGTGCATGCTGGGCTTTGGCAGCTGCCAGTGCTCACAAGAGCTCTCTGAGATCCTAAGAGGCACAGGACAATTTTGACTCTGGAAAGGCAAATATCAACCATGGTCCTAAGAAGATTCATGGAAAAAAAAAAAAAAAAAGAAAGTCATTAGATTAGCCTGTATTTTCCTAAGGATAAATAATAGTATAACATTTCATAAGCTTTGAGAATCAAGTTCAAATCCCTCATAACTCACCTATCATTTCTTATGCATTCTCTTTTGATCCTTGCTCATATTTTGCATTACTTAATCAGGATATATATGTAATTTTATAATCTAATTCTTTTTAAAATTTTTGTAGAGACGAGGTCTCACTATGTTGCCCAGGCTAGTCTTGAACTCCCGGCCTCAAGCAATCCTCCCTCCTCCC